TATAGAATTAAATGTACTAAATAACATCTTAAAAAAATAAATATTTAAATTTAAACACTAAAAATAAGAAATTAAGTTAATTAAGATTAAACAAAAAGAATAATATAAAAAATAATAATTCATATTAATGTTAACAACTGTAAAATTAAATTCATTCAAGTAACAATAATTATATAAAAAATTACACAGGAATATATGCAGGTATGCATAAGAGGTCACATTTTATAAAATGTATACCACCTCCATTCCATTTTACAAAATTCTATAAAAATACATTTGTTATTAATTAAAATTCTATATTTACCCTTATTAATGAGGGTAGTTTACAATTAGAATGGGTTCCTTTTAAGAATACAGTATTATATCAGTTTAAATTTAGTAATTATAGTTGATTTTTTTTTAAATATAAATTTTAGATAAAAATTAATAATTTATATAAATAATAATTAAATTTTTTTATATGTAATTTTTATTGAATATTTTTATTTGATAAAAAATTTTCATAATTATTTATATAATGTATTAAATTTTTATTTAAAATTTATATTTAAAAAATTAAAAAAACAATTATTACTATGTTAAAAATTAAAATTAACAAAGAAATTAAATTTCTCTTCTAAGAAAAAAGGACAAGCACTAAAATGGAATAGAGGTTGCATTCTTTATCACTTCCAAATTAGAATTTATAAATGAGTGCGGTGAGGAAAATGTCGAGAAAGGTTAGGAGTCTTAGGACGATTGTATACGCAAGGTTTGTTGTTGAGGAGGCGGGGGACTGATCGAGTGTGGTGAGGCCCATGATTTAGGATGCTCAAGATTGGTTTAGGAAGCGAAAGGGGTGATCAATCTTGAGCAAAATCGAGGCGGAGAATTTGAGGGACGTTTGGGATCGAATATTCCATTTTTTATTGCCCCGTTGGTTTTCAGAAGAGCAAGCGTTGTACCCGTGGAGTTTGTGTTTTGTAGTCCTTTTTCAGTGCAATGCGAGTTGGGTTTTCATTGTGTTGGGCCTGTCTATCTTGATGGGCCACTCAATAGCTATTCACTACTCAACCCAATCCGAATATTTAAAGCCTGTTTAACCAAATGGTAGTTTCATCCACCATCACCATTTAATAAGTAAAAGTAATAGAGTTACAATGTTGTGAGGTATTATAAATTTATAATAAAATATTTAGTTATGTAATTAATTTTTTTATTTAAAGATTTATTTATAAAATTATATGTATATATTTATTTAATAATACATCATACTTATTTAATATTATATCATAAATATAATTTTATAATTTTATGTGAAATTATAACCAAAGTATTATAATTTAACAACGGGCTTGGAATTGATCCTTTTCTTCATGGAATTAGCAAGCCAGTTATATGTTGCCATTCGATTCTACCATTGCTTGTGGCAATTGTGTCTCTTGAAATAATGCTTTCATACACGGTGAAGCTCGAATCCTTCTCTTGCTCTTCTTCTTTTTTTTTTTTTTTTCCTATTTTATTCTTTTCATATGAAAATTAATTATTTAATAACACAAAAATTTAAATTTTTAACTTTTATTAAAAATTAATAATTAATAATTAATAACTATCAATCTAACCAAACCTTCTTGGTCAATCCCTATCGTGGGCGGACAACTTTTGAGTTTTGAATTTTTAGCATTGAAATTCAATAAATATCATGAATGATTGCCGCAAGTCAAGAGCTGCAGAGAAACCAGTTACAAAACCCAAGAGTCATGGTTCCTTTGAGTTCTTCCTGAGTTGGAGATATACTTGTCTATGAGTATATGAAATTAAAAATTGTTTGGAAATCAAGATTTTGTACAGTAGAAAAGATTGAAGGAGGGAAGGATATATCTTGTACTTTAGAGTGGAGTAAAGTGTATTTTAGGAACTGCACGTGTCTCCTTTTGTTGAGAGCTTGTTTGGTTTACTATGGATCTCGAAAAAAAATTTTGAGAAGTCAACTAAAATTTGACATGATTTGATTTAGGAAATTAAAATTTTTTAACATGTAAATTAAGGCACTATAATTAGTTATAGAAGAAAAAATAATGCATTATATTACCACTTTTTCAAGAAAAAAAATTTTCTGGTTTTTTTTTTTTTTAGGAAAGTGGATATAATAGATTAAAAAATTGAAATAATAAATTATATTAGTATAATCATTTTTTTAAGATAATCAATTAATTATATTGAAAATATAATGCATTACTTTTCCTTCCTTGACCAATTATATTTTGCTTCAATTTGTGTGTCAAGAAATTTAATTTTCTAGGCAGAGCCCTATTAAATTTTAGTTGGCTTTCCTACCTTCATTTTCAGAATCTATTATAACTAAACAAACCCTAAAGGACTGTTTGGTTAGCATGTTACCTAGAAGAAGAATCTAGAGTAGTTGACCACAATGCAGCTCAGCTTGACTTTGGAAAATAAATTTCTTGACATGAATATTGAGATGCAATATAATTAGTTGTGGAAGAGAAAGAAAAGCATTATATTGTCATTTTTCTTGAATTTTTTTTTCGAAATTCTTTTTGAAGGAAAGTGGATATAATCCATTCTAAAGAAAAAATAATTGATTATACTGATATAATCACTTATTTCTCCAAAATAATCACTTATATTGTAAAAATAATGCATTATCTTTTCTTCCATAACCAATTACATTGCATCTCAATTTTTATATCAAAGAATTTATTTTCCTAAGCCAAACTGAAATTATACTTTAATAAGCTACTCTAGATTCTTTTTTGGGTAACATGATAACCAAAGATAGCTAGATGTTGGGGTTTTATATTGGGTTTCAAGAAGTGGGGGATGTTGACCTCATGTGGAAAAAAA